CTTCGTTTATTATGGTTACCACGTTGCTATTGTTGTTGGTATTTTGATTTAGTTTCCTTATGGGGCTTGCTTATTTATTGTTGTTGCTATTTGACTTTGCTTCTGGAGTTTGTGTTGTGTTGACAGCTGAAAATTGGCAATTGTTCATTGTAGCGTATCTTCTTATCCGGCGTCACCTTACGTGTGGGCTTCTAAGTAGAAGTTTTGGATAAGCAGCGACCATACACCTACTCAGAGATCAAAGTGAGCTGTAATGATTGGGCATTACCGAATTATACATTCATGCGCCATATTGTGCAAGGGTTCTATAATTCCAATGTCGAGAGATTTTCTTAAATCCGATATTTTGGAAACGGGAAATTGGTTTTAGTTTTAATCAAGCACGACAGTTTCAGAACTTCGTTGAATCTTCACGAATAAATGTTTGTCACTCATATCAGGGAGATGATCTGGCGACTTCTCTGTGGCAATACGATTACTAAGTACATATTTAGACATCCTGAAGTAGTTCTTGTTATTTTCAAGGGCCTATAACAAATGCCAAATATTTAAAAAGAAGACCTCCAAGCAGTATTTCGCGTTTACTTGAAAAGGATTGCAGTAGTTATCAAAAAGACCCATGCTAAGATGTCAAACCAATAAAATATGATTATCCGACCATCAAAAAATAATTTAACAATGTAGAAAAAAATAGAAAATACATTGTCCCTAAAAATCGCCTATTAATATGACTCTCAGCTAATATATTTNTATAACTTCCTTATAAACGATCTATTAATAATGATTCGATATGATTGCGTTCATCCAATGTAACCTGATAACTTTCCACTCTTCCTTAAGCACTTATTCAATTTTATTGTAAAAGCTTTAAGCAATCTTATACCTGTAGAATGTGATCACATTTCTTTATTTTACGAAGGCTCTCTTCTAATATAATAAGTTTACATCGCCCAATAAAAAAGTTACATCTCTAAATTCTTTTGTTATATTATCTTCTAACATTTTTATTAAAAACCACCATAAATCAACTTATATCTTTTAATTCCTGAATAGCTTATCGTTATAATAAATGAAAGCTTTCAAAGCTTACCGACAGAGTTTGTCAAGACGCCCTCGTAACACACGATGAGCTGCCAGACATGGTGAAAATAATTAATAACATATGAAAGAAATTTTTCGATAAAACTATCAAATTATTATAAAAAAATTACTGTAAATATGAATAGGCAGCTATAGAAAGCTTTTGCAAACGCCTTTGAAGAAACACCTACAAAATAGTTCTTATAAGGAAGTAAACTTTCGCTCGCTGCATGAATTTTGTGTGGCTCGAACAACGCATTATTGTGTTGTAAATAAATGAATCACTGTATGAATAATTATATAAAAATAATATATTAGTAATTTCACAATATAATCAACACCCATTGTACAATTTACCTGTCACACCTGCTGCTGTTAACATGAATTCACCAAGAAACGTTAGAGGAGGCATAGATAAATGTTGCTGTATACATACACTCAAAACGCATATTAATCGAAAAAATCCACATCAACATGGCTACAAGAGGTAGAGTTTTATAAATAGGGAATTAAAACCCAATTTATGCAAAATAAGTATTTAAATTCGAATTAAAGAAAAATAATGAATAGCTGAAAGTTCTATGTTAATAACATTTCACTATAGTAGCACTGTATTCCAAACCACTACTGCTTGGTACGGTTTGGTAACTAGTGAACTGATTGTTAAACTTTTTAAAAATCGGTATAAATACATACCTATAAATATAAGGCATAAGTTTTTGATTTTAAAGAACTTCATTGTAGTTGTTTTTTTTCTAATTCTGGGAGGCCAACGTATCGGGCCGAGCTCCATATAGTTCTAAATTTTAACGGAAATATAAGTGCTTCTGACACAGTTCAAGTCAAGTCAGTTATTGTTTTGCACTTTTAACTATTTTAAAATTTCCTCTTTTACATTCGAAATCAGCGTAGCAGTCATCAGAAAGGCAAAATTTACAAAGAAGCTGTGATTCGATTTCTTTTGATTACATTTTTTCAAAAATGATAAACTGTACTTCTAAAGCGGGATTATATTTTATGTGTTAAAGAAATGGAATGATAATATTGTAAACCCAATTTTAAGAATATTTAATCACACCTGCAAGCATTTCCGAGGGTAACAGTTAGGAATTTAAAACTTTTAAAATATATGTTCATCACTACTGTCATTGAAAATTAGAGCTACTCGCGATAGATTTTACAGCTATTCGGTAGGAATCTAAGGTACTTCAAACTCTGTTGTAGTCCTCCTTAAGTTGTCTGTCGTAACACGAGTCATACACGCGAAATCGCTGGGGTGATTGCATTCGATAGGCTGCTGGAAACATAGACAATATGGTAATTGAGAAATTCTTGGTAAATTCCGACCACTGACTAAAGATTTGGACTGGAATCGAAGTGGATATAAAGGTCTAAGCTGAACACTGTGTTCCACTTGGAACTACTAGACAGTGGAAAGACTGTACAACATGCATAGATTTTCTGGTGATTAAGGTAGAAATTATATACCCGTTATATTACGAAGAACAAAAAACTATATCGAAATTGGATTAGGGAACTTAAGCGATTGAGAAGTAACTATTTACTCAAACCAATGTTGCGTTTACCACCACGCAGAGAAATTTAAATATCGTTTCTTGGTTATACAGCTCTTGCAAACATCAGAAGAAAACCTTCTGAATGCCAACAACTATCTATTCTGTAATATGGCGCTTTATGGATTATTAAGATCTCGTGTTGACGAATCTTGAACAGCACTCAATTTAACCCTCAAGCCATGCCAAATGCTATTCGGTATATGAATAATGCCTATGTCGCTTTCAAGCGGTTTGTATTGAGTCAGCTTTATACTTGTTGTGATGAGTCTCTCATTTTTTTTTTCTTTTTATTAATTGACGATAACAGTGGCGCATTTGAAAGGTTTGCCTTTATTTATTTTCTACTTTTGTATATTTTGCAAAATTTCTTACCTGCTGGCGGTAAAAAAACGTTAACTTTTTTTTACTTTGTCAAAACTGTCAAAATAAGTGGGAAATATAGTAAGGCGTGTCTTTAATGGACTCGGCGGCGAAGCTTTGAACGAATATTGTTTGTTTTTTTTTCACTTCACATTAGTTGGTTGTTGTTGTGTTCGTTTCTATTCGTCTCGTAAACACTTCCTTTAGTTTGGAGCAACAATAATTTGAATATTCAAATAACGTAACGGAGCACTGTCCACCTATTTCGCAGCAACATTTTCTTGGTGATTTCATTCACCTGCTAAGCCAACAACAATAGTATTTATAGAATTGTTGTCTTTGTACGCTGCTGCCTATTTGAGCGCTTTAATTGCATTTTATGTCACTGATAAAGCCAAAACAAAGACTGTCAGCCAAACGGACAGCCCAAGCGAACGATCGTATGAGGAGAAGAGGAGTGATTGCGTTGTGTGGAGCATGCAGCAAGTGTATGTACTGAAATTATATAAATACTTTGAATAACACATACACACTCATGCACACAATGTTAGCTTTTTGTGACAGAAAAGAGCCATAACATATAAACCCAACAACCAACACCAACAACAAAGTTTGAATGAAATGAATCAGCGACTAAGCAGAAGCTACGCACGACCATTTAACCGGCCCGCCACCGCTCAGATCCTCGGCGCAGTCACCTGCCAGCATTTCACGACTGTGGTCAGCGAGTGTCAACGTCAACGTGTTACAACAACAACAATAACAGCAATAGCAGCAATATGACTACCATTACTCCGATTGGCGTATGTAAACCGCTCGGTGACATCTTCTGGCGCAATGTGCTTTGGGAATATTTTGTCGGCCTGCAACTCGCGCATCCATCGCAGCAGCCGAATCAGCACTCACTCGTATGTGTGCGTGTGTCCGTTTATTTGCTTCCACCACTTATGTCGAAGACGCGCGACCACTGCAAGTGAGCGTTGTACGACCAGATGCAAATCACAACAACTGAGCGGAACGATCGCATTTTTGCTTCGGCTTTTGCTCTGCAGGGGCTCAACTTCATGGAATAATTGAATGAGAGACATTTGCTGTTGTTTTGGGAACAATTGCTGGACATGAATAGCAGTGTATCGCGACAATTTAAGGACTACACTGAGCGACAAGGGTGTTCGACTTAGCAGAAAATACTTAATTACAGAGGCTGACCTCGGTTAAAAATAAGGTTAGTGTGTGAAAGAGTAATACATAATATTATTTAACTAAATATTGACTAACTGAATAACTTGCTTCAATAAGGTGGAATAACAGATAATATCAAGGTGCGAAGGTGTAGTCTTTTTCTAAACTAAGATCTCTTTAGGCAATCTCAACTTTTTTAGGGTTTGTTCTCCCACCTTTTTAGGTTATGTTGAATAATACTCTCTATATAAACAATATTTTACTTTTCGAACACATACCAACTGATTTGAATCCATTTCACTTTCTTAAATTTGGCTAGATAGACAGTTGGCTAAAGTGTTCGATCGACTTGTCATCAATTTGACGTTTGAAAATATTGATACAATTCTTTAGATTGGCTCGAAAAATTTCGAAACTCTATATCCAGATACCAACAAATATTTGCAGTGTCGGCCAATAGCTGCAGGTGTTTATCTGGAAATTGAAAAGCGATCGATAACATGTTCTTCAACGAACGACAGACGCCTGATACATTTTGACGATAGAGAGTCCAACTGCGACGGGAACAGCTACAACCACGAAATTATCGAAGACAATAAGGCAAACGAAATGAAATTCTTGACAGAACTGGATTGCTGCACAAACCACGAGCGCTGATATGATACCGAGCCTAAGTGCATGTGTGTGTGTGATCCAAATGCTTCAAAGCGTATTGCATTAGCTCAAGTAGGCATTTGGTACGGCATAAAAACCGAACTGGAATAATAAAATATTCTAACAACTTTTTACAGTCGCTTACAACAACAACACCACACTATGCATTTCAAGCCACTGTAAGAATAAAACTGCAGTCGCTAAGAATTGCATCAATGTTGCTGATACTCGCATTACTGCGGTCAACTTGACAATGGCAATGGGCATAGAAATGAAGTCGTCGAACAAGAGACCCCATTTTAATTGAACACTCTTGTTGCTCCTAAAGCAACAAACATTTTTCATTACTTAGGCGGAAAAACTAAATTCAGGTGAAGAAAAAGTGCTCATATATTTGAATATGCATGTGTGAATGAAGATTTGTAAGTGTTGGGATCTTACAGTGGCTGTGACAAATATCAGAGCGTAAATAAAATTAATGATTTCAGCAAAAGAAAGATTTGTATATATGTGTGTTGGTCCAGGGATAAAAGAAGGTTGGAATACTAATTTACAAATTGCAATTAAAATGAAGTTTAAATTAAAAGCTGCATTGCAATTAAGCTGTAACCAATTTTCGGAAAATTTAGCCAATGAACTCTGCTTTCAAAATTGGGATTTACATATAATATATTTATTCTGTTACATTAGGTTGGAACTTGAATTAAGATAAAATGTATATTGCACTTCCAGATCTTCAATAAATTTATTAATACTACTATTTAATTTGCTTATCTGAAATGTATGGATGTTCAATAAAGTAGAAAATCTCTACTCCGTTAAGAGGCTCTAGACTAGGAGCAATTAATTTTAGGTAATTTTTAAAGTGTCATAAAAAAAGGCAATCAATATTTTTACTATAAATTTGTTTGTCAGTTATTTATTAATGTTAAGAGTACAAAAATAATTAAGTATAAAAAAATTTTAAAGTTATAAAACTGGCAGCTGATAAAGTGGGGTCTCAAAAAATTGGCACATGAGCATCACCCTCCAAGTCATCTTAAAAGAAAAATAATATTATCTATCTGCTATGATGTCGCAATTGTATGAACTAGCCATAAGAAAAAAGGTTTATGACAAAATGGCGACTGTTCTGAGAAAAACGCATTTAAAGTTTCACGTCAAGTTATTTGTTCGATTAGACCCAGTCGAACCAGGTTGGAGGCCGGGTAAGTAAAATGTCTATATCTCCGAAAATAAATTAAATTTCAAATACCCTCTCGTAGACATATTCTTAAATATTAGAACTTTGAAAATAGGAAAAAAAATTCTTTATTTGACGTTATGAAAAATAAATTTTGATTATAATTAATAGTTAGTTAAAGCATGAAATATGCAAAACTCCAAATTTTCTACGTACGCTTAAATGATTAAAAGCAATTAATTTCAATTAAAAGTGTTACAATATATGCTAATTGTTTTTTACAAGCCAATGCAGGCATATTAATTAACAATCAGCGAAAAACACAATAACTTAACATTTTTAGTGTTTATTTTTCGACATTTTTAAGAACCCCATTAATGTATACCCGAATCGCCAAAATTTATCAATATACTAAAACGAAATTGTATCTCCTTAAAATGCATTTGTGTATGAAGACATGCCATTTTAATCTTCGAACATTTAATCAATACAGTCTCTTCAGTATTAGAGTGAAGCTTGGATCAACTTAGTTTCAAATTAAAATCAGTTGTAGAGGATAGTGCTGGTTTTAAATTTCATGCCCTAGGAAGATTAAGAATAACAACCATGAAGAAAAATAACCACGAAGAATAATAACCATGTAAGAAGTATCAAGAGAGCGAAGATTTGGAAATCCACGGAAGAAGTCCCATAGAAATCCGGGTTGTAGTGAGTGAGTAGCAGAAGCAGCCATAACAAAAGGTTCTGTGAAAAATATAAAATGTGTTCCTTAACAGCTGATCGTTATGGGATCGAATTATATATTGTATATTCCCTGAATGTTCGTATATAAAGGCCATGTCCAGCAGCGTCAAAGTGTCAGAGATTTTTAATGTGTCAGTCTAAAAGTATTTTCTTAATTACGGTGCACTTCAACCTGATTGTTTCACCTAGCCTTGTATAGCATGTATATGTATATCTAGGTTGGTTTATATACACAAATATCTCAACTGTGTGACTATCATCAATGCACGTGTATTTGATTTATGCGGAAATGTTCGAAAAAACCGTGCACACTCAAACAAAAAATGTCAAGCAATGAATAGTGAGACAGAGGTTGTGACAGTTACACATTTATATTGTAGTAATCAAAAGTTTGTAGATATGTATGTTTCTTGCATTGCTTATTTATTTATGTATCTGTATTGCATTCATTCATCGGACATCGCTGGCGAAACTCATGTGGTATTTATATTTGTATATTTTGTATATATGTATTTATGTATCTGTATTTATATATGTA